ATGCGCCCGTCGCCCCGTTGTAGAAGTACACCTGCCCCTGCGCCGTTGTACGCATCTCTGCAATAACAAACATTCCTCTCTATTATACACTACCAGTTTCTTGCAACTTCGTCCGTATTGAATTAGAAAATACAGTAGAACCTCGATAACTCAAACCTCGGTAGCATAAAAACCTCTATAATTTCAAGAAATTATTGTTCTCTTCCCATCAGAGCCCAAAACCTCTATAACATAGATTCTTGATAACTTAAAATATTTCGTGTTTCCCTTGGACTTTAACTTATCGAGGTTCTACTGTAATACAAAATGTCCTATGTTACTCGCAGGTTACCTTTCTAATGGTGAACATTTTTTTTAAACAGCCCAGTAGTCGCGTGAATCAAATACATACAAAAATCCGACAACAGAAATCTTTCTTCTTTATAAAATTAGTATAGATGAATCATAATTACCTAGTAGAGATGCACAATATTGAAATATAACGAAGTTGTAATGAAAATACTACGCCAGTTAACAAATACAATCCGTGTCTAGTGTGCATTGATTGGCCAAATTTGAACCAGGCAATAAATATGGTAATATACATACAATGTTTACAGGATCGTACAAACCAGATGTATCAAGCTTTGTTGCATCCCATAGTCATCAAATATCGTTTTAGTTACTTGTATGCCAGTAAGTGTTTACATAGCTGGCACGTGCCAGTAGCGTGTTTGCAAGTGGCAAAGTACACATAAAGTGAGAAGATGGAGTACAAATAAAAATAAATACAAACTTTTTGTAAAACAAATGAATGTAATAATGAATACTAACCATATCCAGGCGGCAGGTCGGTGGCAGCTATGGGTATGGTAGGTGAGGGCGTGGTGGAAGGAGATGTGGGCGTTGACGGATTCTGCACTTGAGGCGAACGCACTGCCGTTTGCGGCTGAGGCTCCGGTCTGAAAACGTTTTAATTTCACATAACATTACTGCACTGATAAAAATAATTAAAACATTTTGTTGCCTTTGGAATATTCACACTTTTTTTCTAAGCAATTGCATAACAGATAAGATGTTTTTTATTTATTCATACAAAAAACAATATTACGGACCATATATAATTTTACAAATATATCACATCAGTTGTTTTACTTATATATTTTAGTTTTTAATTATATATTGTAGTAATAGAATATTCAAGGAAAGGATCACTAGGTATGTTTTCTTGTATTAAAGGAGCCAATTGACTTCCCTTACTTCACTTAACATTAAATCTTAAATACTAGTTATAAAATAAAATTACCTTAAAGAAATTGAGGTGACAAGTGATACTTCTGTTTCGGTTACAGGTGATGACGGTGACGCAGGTGATGATGGTAAGCTGGGGGACATGGGTGAGGAAGGGGAGATGGGAGCGGTGGGTGATGTGGGGCAGGCGGGGGAGGGCAGCGAGGGGGAGCTGGGCTGAGTGGTTACAGGACTCAGTTCCTCTGACGTCGGCCGCTCCCACTGGGTTCTTCTGAGTGCATGGTTAACGTAATATGGCCTGAAAAAATATCGTTTTCTTGTTAGCATTATCTTTAGCTGTATTATCCATTTATACTCATAGAACAAACATACACTTCTTATTTATGTAGAAATATCAGCAATCATGCCATATTAAAAAAAACTAAAAGAGGCATAGACTTAAGACACGCTTTAGGGTATGTATTTTCACGCGTTAGACTTAGAGGCGCGGTAGTTTTGGGCAAAGATTGCTCTGCGAGAAAGGGCTAAAAACTACAAGCCAATATCAGCAAAGGAAGGAATTTTCAGGCAATGACAAGGACCTTCATAGTCATTTGAGCTTTAAGAATTGTACAAGAATTACAATGTTATATGGATAGTTGTTCAGAAACACCTTGTTTCTAATAAAAAAGAAAGACATTACTTTTGAATATAACAGATTACCTGCCACTAGACGTAAATCTCTCCTCCCAGTGCGGAGGTAGTGGTAAATGTGATGCATTAGTATTATTGATTGGTGGGTCCCTAGGCGCACGAACTTCTCCAGCAGGTCCCACCACTGCCAACGGCGAGCCTTCACCGGCAGCGGAAGCAGGCTCCCCTCTTGTACTATCTCTTGATAATAGAGACACAATTACTTGGCCACGAACACCGCAAGCTTTTCCAAGGTTCTCTTCGCATAGCTCCAAACATTGATCTAAAAATAATGTTTTTATAGCCAAAAGAAATGCAAGGCAATCTACACAGGTGTTAACAGACTAATGAAAGTTGTGAGCTTGTATTCTATTTATTGAAATCACTAAACACTTTTTAGTCATATGAATATATTGTCAACGAAACAAAGAAAATAATTATATACTTACAGCCTGTATCTTTTAATTTGTGTACTGTTGATGGTTGAATACGTACACAACCAAGAAAGCCAGATCCTTGTCTTTTGTGCACTTTTCGTTGGTTCCAAACACTGCAAAAATAACAGATTTTCAGTTTCCATTAATTACAGAAAATGCAGTTTTGTAAAAAACATCACGACCATATGAATTAATATTTAAATACAATAATTACAATGAACATAAAGTGTTATTTATAATGTTTACTTTAATATTTTCACTTAACCAAGTTATAATTTTTAATATGTATTATAAATGCAAAAATGTAGATGGATGGATTGATGTTTGTTACTATGTATCTCTACAATGGCACTCAGATCTTGCTGAAAGTTGGCATAAATATAGAGTAAAGTCTTATATTAGGATCATGCTATGTTTTTTAGTGATTCACACCAAAAGTATATAGACACTAATAAGGTTGGAAACTAAATGACTTATTAAAAACAACAAATTTTAAAATAGAATGGTTCTTTTACCTGATTGTGATGCCATCACCCTTAGAGAGGTACAGATCATAATGTGTATTCCATTTTGGATCTAATGTTGCTTTCACTGCATTTGTTGAATATACTTGGCCACTTCCATCAACTGATATTTTCACAAATGGGTCTGGTAAGCCTTGAAATAATACAAAAGTCAGTCAAGGTCTTGAGTTATCAAATTTTATTGAAAGAAAATGACATGCAAAACTACATATATATTTATATATATATATATATATATATTTTAAGGCACAGAAAGTAAATTGCAAATTTAAATGAATCCGAATTAACATTACGTCTAAATCATCAAATACTCTGATGTCATAATACTAGCATTTCCTTAAAATTTGCAAAATACATACTTAACGTAACTTGCGGTTTTACTAAATAAAACATTAAATATGATTACGAAGAATTTATAATTGAGGACACAAGAGTATCGAATCTCTGACGAAATAAATATTTGGTCGACATTTTAATTTCCACATTAATAACATTGTAAACACAATACTACGAATATAATAAAACCATAACAACTGCATATAATTAGCAGCACAATATTATTCCAATGCATTAGCTAACTTTTGATGTAATACAACGGAAACAGCATAATTGTTGCAAAACAAGTTTAATTTAATATGTTTTACTTACGAAAAAGATCCCTCCGGACCAAGTTTCTTGCACATAGTACTAAAATCAAACAACAACAATATTAGAAAAGATATCGAGGATATCAACAACGAAAGTAATTTGTGAAAGGAAGAGCATACTTGTGAGTCGAATTTTCTGTGCCCCATATTTTCGATTTGACACTGGTGTGGACATCGTTTTAATAATTCACCAACACATCACAATAATTTTATATGTGAATAATCGACATTATTTCTACTTCGCAGACCTGCCCACCATTTTTATTACAATTTGTTTTTTTATGCAATATGCAATGCAATATTCGCCTCTATCTATTCATTCAATTTTGTACATTGTCTACTTGTCAGTGTTGCCAGGTGTTGTTTTTCCTTATTTATTAATGAAAAATTAATCACCCATTTTCAGACGAATTTGAAATAAAATAAGCATGTAATAAAAATACATCTCAGTTCTCACAAAACATTTTAATATCAAGTTAGAAGCAATATCCAGTTAATTCAGAGGGCAATCATAAAATACCTAATATTCCTATTGGTAGCGGATATTTGGCTGATATCGGTAATTTTATATTATACTAGCTGTTCCTCGCGACTGTCCGCGTGAAATTTATATAATTATAAAAAGACATAGCATAAGTTACTAATTATTGGAGCTAACTACATCTATTCGAAGTAACTACCTACTGGTAACCTATGAAATAACCAATGGGGACTTTTAATAAAATCTGTGAACGGTTTACATTATTTTTATTTATTCTTGATGAAATGAATATTTTTCTCTTATCTTTACAATCAAGCTCTTGGGATTTTATCTCAGTTGGGCGTAAATATTATATCGTTATGTTTTATTTATATTCCTGGAGAAATTCAAAACCATTTTGTATATAAGAGTTAGATAAATACACGATTCGGATATTTTTTATCTTTGTAATTCTGTGTGTTGGACTGTTGACTATTGAAGTATCTTTCTTTTATTAACTTTTAAAAATAAATAATGATTGCAAACATATTATTACTTTTTCTTGCTATATCTATAAAAGATATTTATGTAAGTTTTTTGTATGATTTATAGATGTCTTTAAGTAAATATTTACAAACTAATAAGATGCGTTGGTAAAACTGATAAGTGACTTATGTTTGATTTATTTGCTTAACTACATGTAATTTATTACCTAACATTTGACGTATTTTTCTGCAATTTGATTATTCATATATAATTGATAATATCCTTTATTGTGTTTTATGCTGTTGTGTGCGTGAAGTGTTCAACGGCTTCTATCGGCCAACCGATATTTGCTCTTTGATTTGAATGTTTGCTATGAAGGTAGTTGTGAATAATTATAAACGAGGAATTAGATAATTTTTCATTTTATGTTTTTCTTTAAGATACCTGTTTTATGATTCATTTTCAGGCAATGAAGCCAATTTTAATTGTTCATGGGGGTGCAGGTGATATAGCCCAAAGCAGAGTGCAGGGCAAACTGGATGGCGTGAGATTAGCAGTGAGGGAGGGCTACAGGGTGTTGCAGCATAATGGTAGCGCTCTTGATGCAGTTGAAGCAGCTGTTGTATCTATGGAGAAGGATGAAAACTTTAATGCAGGTTTGCTTAACAATTTGAAATGTAAAGATTTTTGGACTATATATTTTAACACTACTATCATTTTATTATAATAGTGAAAATGTAAATTAACATTAAGAAGATGAACATGACTAAGTTATAAAGTGTTAGTAATTATATTATAGGGTATGGCTCAGTATTGAATCTGGCTGGAGAAGTGGAAATGGAAGCAAGTATAATGAGCGGTGAAAATCTGGATGTTGGTGCGGTGACATTAATAAAAGATTTTCTTCATCCTATTAGCATTGCTTATAAGGTTCTTACAGACTCACCTCACTCATTGATTGGCGGACAAGGTGCTAAACAATTTGCTTTAGATAAGGTGGGGTAGGATTAATTTATAAATTGATAAAATTAACAATTAATTTTTTTTTTACAAAATTTAGTATATTAATGAATTACTTTTTAAACTTTACAGGGCTTCCCAACAGTGCCTCAAGAATCATTGATAAGTGAAAATGCTCAAGCTGCATTAAAAGAATTTTTGGAGAATGGTGGAGAATTTGGAAAAACAGAAATTGGTGTTGCAGAGGTATGTTGGTCCAATTATATTTAATTTCATGCAGCAATAAATTTATTTCATAGTTATATGTGATTTTTGCTGCCTTTTTAACTTCACATGCATTCTAATCAGTAGTAGACTTAAGGTTTAATAGCTGTAAATTGCTTTGTTTACTTTATAACTTTGAACAGGGTGGTGTTGGTACAGTGGGTGCTGTAGCAATTGATGCCAATGGACATATAGCCGTAGCTACCAGCACAGGTGGCATGACTGGTAAAGTGGTTGGTCGTATTGGAGACACACCACAAATTGGCAGTGGCACTTATGCTGATGACAATATTGGAGGTGTCTCTTCAACAGGTAACAAAATTTTCTAATAAAATAGATAATTTGTGTTATTTCTATTGTTTTAATACATTTTGGTAATTAGTTATGATTATTTTTCTAAGAAGTGGTTATATTTAAGAATAATATATGTTTCTATGATAAAGAAAATTTTCTTGGAACAGTTTGATTTTTTGTCTACACTTTACAAGTGTATATAATACAAAATGGTGATCATTGGACACCTCATAAACGGCTTTCTGTGCTCGGCCTTTTCAAGTCTGGTGAAGCTGAATATGCCTCTTTAAGGCAAACATTGACAAGGCAGTCATAAAAAAATTGGTCACATCATATTAAGTATGTCAATGAGACTGGTATTAAGGCTGTCAATCTTCCTGCCAAACATTGCGATTATAATAAATAGCGCTCTTGAAGTTATCTTATCAGACTCTCATCCATTTTTTTATCAATAAGGGCATGGTCACTTTAGTTAGTGGATTTACCTATAGATATATTAAGGATATTACAATTTTTGAAAAAAAAAATGGATTGAAAGGCTTTTATAATATATGTTAATTTTGATCTTGGTCTAGGCAGATTTCAATTTATTCAAATTATTATCTCACACAGGTCATGGAGAATCTATACTAAAGGTCTGCTTGGCACATAGTATTATAAAACTAATGGAGAGTGGAGTTGATGCCAATACAGCTACAAAAGAGGCAGTTACAGGTGAAATTACTATTTGTATTGTGTAAAGCATATTAAGTCAATTTTCATCAATATGTTTTGTCCTTATTGCTATGTGCTAATTTATTACAGCTATGACATCACGTTTGAAAAACACAGCTGGTGCAATTACTTTATCAAAGGACGGTGATGTCGGAGTATATTTTTCATCTAAGAGAATGTCTTGGGCTTATATTAAAGATGAAAAATTGTTCTACGGCATTGAACATGGCGAAGTTCTTGAGGAGAATTATGTTAAGTGATATGCTGCTTAAAAAAACAGATGTATCTTATCATACTTTTTATTTTATGCAAATAAGTGAGAAATCGAATTTACTATATAATAGATTATATATTATGATTGTTTTATTTGAAGTTATTTAATAAAAATCATTTAATGGACTGATAAACTATAAAATTTTATTAAATCATTTTTTAGTAATTAACAGTGACAATTTTTTTGTTGTTCCCTATGAAACAAGTATTTTGATAAAGAAAAAAATTAGGCCCTGCAGGAGAGAACCTGTAGATATATATTTTTTAATTTGTTCAGGTTTTGGAGTACATTTAGGAAGGATTCAAGACAATTTTTTGACAACACTGGATTAGTGTCAACGTCAAACGTCGACTAAAGATGTCAATGTCAAATTAATATCAAATGATGTCATTTTAATTTCTATGTATAAAATGATTTTTAAATTGTATTATGTTTTTAATTTATGAATGAGTGTGATATAACTTTGAAGAGATTTCAAGTAACTTTATAAACTTAGAGTTCTACTTCCTTGATAATGCAAAATATATTAACCAATGGAAATATGTCGCTTAGATTTAAATCGACCGAATTACATTGCTTTAATTGGTTTTATAATATCTCACCATGTTTTCCTGTCAACAGTAGTAAAGTTAATATAATTACGGATCCTAGGAAGTTTTACGATACATTGTGTGAAAGATTTAAGAATGCCAGTCGTCGAATTTCAGTTGCCAGTTTATACATTGGCACAGGACATTTGGAAAGGAATTTGCTCGATGTTACACGGAAAAATCTTATGTCAAATAAAACATTACAATTGGATGTCTTATTGGATTACCAGCGAGGTACTCGCGGGGAAGTTAATTCTCGTACTCTGGTGCAAGAATTAGTGAAAGTGGCACAAGATCAGTGTAAACTATCTTTATACCAAACTCCACGTCTTCAAGGTTCCTGGTCCAAACTTTTACCAGCTCGTTATAACGAAATTCTGGGTTTACAACATATGAAATTATATATTGCTGATGATTCAGTTTTGTTAAGTGGTGCTAATTGTTCAAATGATTATTTCCAAAAAAGACAAGATCGCTACATAGAAATTGAAGATGTTGATCTTGCAAATTTTTATCGAGAACTCATAGGTATGATAACTGTGTAAGTTATGTTTATTTTGTTTTCTTTTAGTTATATTTTATAATTATTTGGTTAACAAATAATCATTTTATCCTATTCCAGATGAAGTAACAAAGTTTAGTAAACAAGAATGTGGTGAAAATGAGAATCAATATTCTAAGGAAACATTAACTAAGGAAGTTAATAAGAATATTGTAGACTTAATTGAGAAATGGAGAAAGAAACAAACTACAAAATTAGCTTCAACTGATGGTAAATTCAATTCTAAGATGAATTCATATGATATTTTAGTCCCATTGTTAAAATTTTAATTTTGTAGCTACAAAAGACACTTGGGTGTTTCCTTTAATACAAATGGGAGAATTTGACATCACTCAAGATGAAGATGCAACTTGCAAAATTCTCTCTTCCGCTCCCAAAGGATCATATCTCCGATTGGCTACTGGATATTTTAACTTAACTGAAAACTATGCTAATACTTTGTTAAAGAATTGCAAGGCTAATATCAGTTTATTAATGGCACATCCAAATGTAAGTAACAACAACTGATGATGGCAACAAAAGTGGTAAATAGCAATTAATGTACATCTATTTGTCAAAGTTTAACCTTAAGTTGTTTTTAAAGTTTTTTTTTTATTTTTGATTTCAGGCAAATGGTTTTTTGGGTGCAGCAGGACCGGCGGGTGGTATACCACATGCATATTCATTAATAGCGCAAAAGTAAGTATTATATTTTATTAAAAAATAAAAATCAGTTAAGTTAGTAATGGATTAAAAAAATATTAGTAGTCTATGTCTTCTGTGCTAAATTTTAGAGAGATCTATTTAGATGTTTTTGAGATTTCTAATGACATCCATCCATCCATTTTAATTAGTAAGATTAAAATGAATGTTACAGGTTTTGGCAAAGAGTTGTTGATTCAAATCAAGCAAGTCGCATACAAATGCTGGAGTACGAGAGACCGGAGTGGACTTTCCATGCAAAAGGATTGTGGTAAGTCATTGTTTTACTAAATGTTTCTTGTAATAACTTTAGAACATAACGTAAATTCCAGTTTTCATTAGTTTTAAAGACAAAAGGTTAATTTTAACAAATATTTAAATTGAAATCTAAGACAATGTTATTTCTTACTAGTATTGTAAATGCGAAATTTTAGATGGACGGATGGACGTTTGTTAAAGTTTGTAGTTTAATCGGCAAAATGGATCTTGATGAAATGTGGTATAGACTTAGAAGCTAGTCTAACACATAGTGAGTACACTTTTTTTTAATTCCACGATGATGGAGTCGTGGGCGAAAGCTAGTTAATAATATATTTTAATCCGTTTGACTGATTGTAGGTACTACCCGGCTGGCAGCGGGCGGCCGTGGGGGACGGTGATCGGGTCTGCCAATCTCGGCGAGCGCTCTGTCAGAAGGGACCTCGAGGCGCAAGCAGCGATATTTACCACCTCACCCCAGTTACAGGTAATATATTAATATTTTATGTTTCTGCTTAAAACATAATTTATATTATTTTTAATTCCGCGCGGACAGAGTCGCGGGCGAAAGCTAGTATTATATAAAAACATGACTTTATTTGTTTAATTGTATAGGAGAAGCTCCACGCGGAGTGCGCGCGGCTGCACGCGCACGCGGCGGAGTGCGGCGCGGCGCTGCGGGCTCGCCGCACGCCGCTCTGGGTGCACGCCACCGTCGGATTGTTTAGGACATACTTCTAGCACATTTATTAGAAATTAATAAAAAAAACAACAAGAAATTATCCCACTTAGAATACAGCAATATAGGTATAATTTAGCTTTAGATAGATATCAATGGGTAGGAAATTAATTTCCTAAACTAGCATTGAATTTGTTAAAGAACACAAGCTTTTGCAATTAAACATATGGGCGTATGTAAGAGGAAGGTCATTTAAGTGGCAATTTTTCTGACACCTCGATTTGACCAAAATTAAATGTTAAAATATTACTATTAGCGATATAGTACAAAATTTGCTGTGATTTTTTACTAAGTAATTTGCTAAAGAGTTTCTAGATTTCTGTACATTACTTTTATTAGCGAAGGAATCTTTTATTTGATATTCGTTTCATTTATTCATGTATTAAGTAAATGTTTTGTTTTTAAAGTACACTCGATTTAATCCAAAATTTTATCATGTCCAAAAAGTAGTATACAAAATGGTAATTTACAGACTTAATGGGTATCAAATTAATACAGTCACAATTTTTTTTTACTGTTTTTTTTTACTTCCATTGTTAGGAAGTTAGCTTTTGTGCTGTTGGGTTGATTTTATTAAAACATAAGTATTATTGTGTGTATGTTTTGTTTTATTGTTAATGTCAGTGACATCATGTGATTTATTATGTATGATAATTGTTGTTATATTTAAAAATAAATTGTAACATAACTTGATTTTTATTTTTACAAGTTGACATATAGAGATTTTCATCTATAGAAGAGTACCTACAAAAAATAAAAAAAAAACATATTGAGTTTTTAATTATTTTAATCGTAATCATTCTTATTTTTTTTACAATCACATAATTAATTATTATTTTGATTCACACTTAAAATAAATTTTAAAATAAATTAAAAGAAAACACTCTGTAATAATAATTTATACAAAAATTCAGTCGGTTTGTGACGTCATTCAATTACAATAAAAAGTATACAATGAAGTTTACAGTAATAGGAATCAGGCACATTATAATACAATCTATTCACTAATGAGTAGAAGGATATTTCACTAAAACATGGAAATACCTAAAAATAATAATAGGTAATCAACGTCTACCGGATGTGGACGAATTACTTGACAGTTTAAAATAAACAATACAATAAATAATCGATCGATCCACAAAACAAAACAAAAACTCACTTTTGAGCATAATCTTATTACAAACAGATTAATAATCATTGCAATTGAGCATAACGTATTACTTAATTAATAATACTTTTATTAAAATCAGTGAAGCGCATCTATGATAAAGTTAAAAATGAGCAAAAATCGAATTAAAAACGTTTATCGTTGAATCAACTTCGATCGAATTAGGATGGAAAAGTGTCATTTTCGTTATTTAAGCATGGACGACTTTTTTATTCTAATCTTTGGTGTGCTGGCCGTAACGATGTCGACCTTTGCCCGGACGCAATGTTGAGTACAAAACGTCAGTTTGACGTTTGTGACGCGCTGTCACTGTCACTGTCAGTGCGCCGGCGCGCCCCGCGCGGGACATGTCGGTAACGCCTTCAAACCTAACACTACGGACGCAGACTGTTGGTACAAAAATAGTTCACCTATTCAATACAATTATCACTACTTAACAATTAAGTATCGCGAGGAGGCGGCGGGAAATATTATACTTTGACCTTTCAATCGGAGGAAACAATTAAATGATTTTAAAAATACATTTTTCTATGAGTTCAGTTTGGGCAGACAGTGTAGGGTAGAGGGCAGTGGCCTCCTGCAATCATAACACTACTTATGCGTATCACACTAAGGTAAATTGACTAGGCGTGTTTTGAGTCAGTCACGCTGGCTTCGTGAACTTTTCATTTAGGCTTTGATATCTAGTGAATAATATAAATGATACTAGTAATGGAAATTATGAAATTACAAGTTTTGCCATAAAAGTAGTTTTGATGGAAATTAGAAGAGAATAATCACTGGTTCTATCTTGGGACTAGTTGAACGAATAAGTTTTACTAATATCATTCATAATACGCTTAAAATTAAAAACTTAAATAACAGTCTACAAAGCCGTGAATTATAATCTTTGAGCCGTTGGTAGCTCTGCGCGTATTGTTGGCACGTTTGACCGCTAAATATATTTACACAAATCTTCATCAACGTTATTTTATCGAGAGTGCCAACGTGCTGCCAGTGTGTGTAGAATTGGTTTTTCTTTCATTTAATTTCCTGGTAAATGTTATGGTGAGGTGTCTGGCAGCAAGACGCGCGGAGGCTCCGTGCTGCGGACTACTGCGCTGTAGTGCTTTGTGTTATGCAGCGACTTTCTGAAAATAAATAAACAATAAATTAAAATTCGAACTTCTTTACTTAAGTCTATGTTTGATCGTGGTCAAGGGCTAGTTTATACATAAGTATGCAGTTGCAAACTGAGTCCTTACGAATTTAAAAAATAGTATAAAGCATAGCCTATGTTACTCAGTGATAACGCAGCTTATTATTAATGAAAGAATTTTTGAAATCGACCCAGTAACTTTTTCAATATGTACCAAACGACAAATCTTTACATACAATATTTACTCACTTTAGAAATTAAAAAAAAACTATAAACGTTCAAAAGTGTTGAGCATACTTACGGATCAGAATCCTGCATTGGGCGGGTCGGGCGGCAGGTAGTGGAGGTCAGGCGCGGGCGCGGCCAGCAAGTTGTGCAGCACGGCGAACAGCGTGCAG